TTTTGAAAGACTTTGCCAAGGATGGAGGTGAGACTGACTGGCCTATAGTTGCCCAGGTCCTGCTTCCTCCCCTTCTTGAAAATGGGGACCACATTGGCCCTTTTCCAGTCCTCTGGGACTTGGCCCATGCGCCACGAGCGTTCAAATATTCCCGCCAGTGGCTCTACAATGATGTTGGCCAGTGCCTTCAGCACCCTCGGATGGAGCTCATCCGGGCCTGCCAACTTAAAGGCATCCAGTTCTTCCAAGTGACTCTGCACTATCTCAGGGTCTACGCATGGAAGTCTGGTGCCTTGCTGCTGCCTCTCTACAACCCCAGTGAGAGACTTGTCGTGCCCCTCGCTTAGGAACACTGAGGCAAAGAACTGTTGAGGAGTTCAGCCTTGTCCCCCCATGTCCGTCACCAATTGTTTCTGCCCATTTAGCAGGGGTCCTATTCCACCCTGGGCCTTCCTTTTACTCCCTATATATCTAAAAAACAATTTCTTGTTGTCCTTTACTTGGGTTGCCATCCTCAGCTCCATGGTAGCTTTGGCCCGTCTAACTGCCTCCCTACAAGCACGAGCAGAGGAGGTATATTTGTCTTTGGTGATCTCTCCCTGTTTCCACTTTTTATGTGCTCCCCTTTTGGCCCTTGGGCTGCCCTGGGGAGGTGGTGCTCTCCCCTACCTTGGGGGTCTTCAAGAGGAGGCTGGAGAGCTATCTGGCTGTGGTACTATGATCCCAGCACTCGTTCCTGCCCAGGGCAGAGGGTCGGACTTGATGACCTGTTCAGGTCCCTTCTGACCCTAGAAACTATGAAACTATGACCCACAATATTCTCCTCCCTTAATTCCTAGCATTCCCTGCTTTGCACCTTTGTTTAAGCCTCAGGATGGGGCTGTCTCAATACTGTTGGAGTAGATCATAGGCAAGAAAGCTGATATCCTTCTAACAGTCCTGCATACCACCTGGGAGTCTTGAGACAAATTACTGCTTTATTGGTCATTTTTGGTGTTATCTAGATTCATAGATTCATAGAAGTAGGGTCGGAAGGGACCTTGTAGATCATCAAGTCTGACCCCCTGCCCTGGATAGGAGAGCGAACAGGGCTCAAATGACCCCAGCCAGGTAGATGTCAAGCCTCCTCTTAAAGACCCCCAAGTTAGAAGCCATCACTACTTCCCTTGGAAGTTGGTTCCAGATCCTAGCCACCCTGACTGAAGTAGTGCTTTCGGATGTCTAGTCTAAACCTACTCTCTAACAATTTGTGGCCATTATTCCTTGTTACCCCGGGGGGCGCTAGGGGGAACAGGGTCTCTCCCAAACCCTGCTGGTCCCCCCTAGTGAGTTTATAGATGGCCACCAGGTCCCCCCTCAGCCTTCTGTTGCAAAGGCTGAACAAGTTAAGGTCCAGTAGCCTCTTCTCATAGGGTCTGCCCTGCTGTCCCCAGATCATGTGGGTGGCCCTCATCTGAACCCTCTCATTGCTGTCCAGATCCCTCCTGAAGTGTGACGCCCAGAACTGAACACAGTACTCCAGCTGTGGCCTGACCAGTGTCACATAGAGGGGGAGGATCATCTCCTTGGCCCTGCTTGAGATGCATCTGTGGATGCATGACAAGGTACGGTTAGCCCTCCTGACCATGACCTCGCATTGTCAGCCCATGTTCATCTTGGAGTCAATAATGACTCCAAGATCTCTTTCTGCCACCGTGCTCTCGAGAAGGGAGTTTCCCAGCTTATAAGTGTGCTGCTGGTTCCTACTGCCCAAGTGCAGCACCCTGCGCTTGTCAGTATTGAAACCCATCCTATTTTCATTAGCCCACCCCTGTAACCTGTCCAGGTCCTGCTGTAATCTGTCCTTCCCTACTAGCGTGCCCACCTCACCCCAAATCTTGGTATCATCAGCAAATTTAAACAGGCTGCTTTTTACCCCATCGTCCAAGTCACTAATAAAGAAATTGAACAGTGCGGGCCCAAGGACTGAGCCCTGGGGGACTCCACTTCCCTCCAGGTCAAAAAAGACCCGTCCACCACTACCCTCTGAGTACGACCCTTCAGCCAATTTGCAATCCATCTGACTGTAGGAATCAATGCCACAGTCACCTAGTTTTTTGATGAGAATGGGGTGGGAGACAGTGTCAAAGGCCTTGCTGAAATCCAGAAAGACTACATCCACTGCAACACCTGCATCCAATGCTTTTGTGACATGAACGTAGAAGGCAATCAGGTTGGTCTGACATGACCTGCCCCTAATGAAACCGTGCTGGTTGCCCTTGAGTGTCATCCCTGCTGCTGGCCCATCACAGATGTGATCTTTGATGATCTTCTCAAAGAGTTTCCCCAGGATTGAAGTAAGACTAATGGGCCCATAGTTGCCCAGGTCCTCCCTCTTCCCTTTTTTGAAGATGGGGACCACGTTGGCTTTCTTCCAGTCATCTGGCACCTTGCCAGAGCACCACAAGTGCTCGTAAAGCTATGCCAGGGGCCCCGCAATAACCCCTGCCAATTCCCTCAACACCCTGGGGTGGAGAGCATCTGGACCTGCTAATTTGAACACATCCAGCCCCTCCAGAAGCTCTCTAACCCGGTCCTCCCTGACCTTAGGCCTAGTAGGCATTCTGCACATACAGTGTTGTTCCTTCAGCAAAGCTGTGACCTCATGTTTGCACCCAACCTACAAACATGTTTCAAGAGACCTCCCTGTGGTTGTGTGCATCTTCTAGCACCTACAGTCAGTTAGCTTGTTGATTGTCATGCACTTACAAATGTCAGGGCTTTACAAGAGAGCTTCCCATTGGAGAGAAATTAGTCAAACAAAACCAACGTATGTTATTTATTTACCAAAATATACACGTTGGGACAAATGGTCACAAACTTATAGCAGCTTCTTTCATTGACAATGCAACTAAAGCAGCAAGACAAAGTCTCCTAGGCCTCCCTCTCTTCTTGGACTGTTTTGCTAGCTAATTTTTCAAATGCTTGGTGCTTTGTTCTACTTCTGGGGCATGTTTTTAATGCATATGCTTGGGTACCAAAAGCTATCTAGCTGAGCCTGCAAAAGTTCTGCAAAAGACCATTAACCATGTGAAGAGGGGGAATAATTTAATAATAGGAATAAAAATTGTAATAACTACAATTAAGATTATAACTTGGAATTGGAAAAGTTAAACTCATTTCATTTACAAAAGTAACTATTAACAGGACAAAAGGTCATTGGAATAATATAATGAATATGTTATTACTTAAAATTCAAATGTAAATGGACAATAAGGTCAAAATAAGCGTATAAAAGGCAACCGTAAAATGTAAGAATAGAAGAGAGACTTATGTGGAAGGAAAGGATCTCTCCCTCCTGAGAACTTTCACCAGGGCTCCTTTCACCTGTTCATTCCTCAGGCTGTATATCAGGGGGTTCAGCATGGGGTTGATAAAGCTGTAAAAGAGGAAAAGGATTTTCCCTCGAAAAGCTGAGTGGCTGGTCATGGGTCCCATGTACATGATGATGGCCGTTCCATAGTAAAGCCCCACCACGGTCAGGTGGGAGCTGCAAGTAGAGAAAGTTTTGCGCCGTCCTGCAGCAGAGTGGATGCGCAGGATGGTGGCCAGGATGTGCAGATATGAAACAATAACGAATAAGAAGGGGAACAGCAGGATTAACATGCAGGCAGTAAATATCACAGTCTGGTTGATAGTGATATCAGCACAGGCTAGCTTTAACACAGCCAGGAGTTCACAGAAGAAGTGGTCCACTTCATTAAGGCTGCAGAAAGGCAACCGCAGGGTCAGACCCACTTGTATTGCACCAAACAGGAACCCACAGGTCCATGAACACGTCACCATGGTGGTACACACTCTCCAGTTCATGATGACATTGTATCGCAAGGGGTGGCATATTGCCACATAGCGGTCATAAGACATCACTGCCAGCAACACACACTCAGTTAGGGCTAAGGCCATGTAGAGGTATATTTGTGTCCCACAACCAACAAATGAGATGGTTTTCCTCTGGAGAAGGAGGTTCCCCAAAATGTGGGGGACATTACTGGAGGCATAGCAGATGTCTAGTATGGAGAGATGGCAGAGGAAGAAATACATGGGGGTATGAAGCTGGGAGTTGTGACAGATTACCACAAATACAAGTGTATTTCCAACCAGTGAAACTGTGTAGATAACAGAGAAGATCCCAAACATGAAAAATTGCATGTTTTCCCCAGTGGAAAACCCCAGGATGATAAATTCAGTGACAAACGTTTGATTTTCCATTCAGGCAGTAAATATCACAGTCTGGTTGATAGTGATATCAGCACAGGCTAGCTTTAACACAGCCAGGAGTTCACAGAAGAAGTGGTCCACTTCATTAAGGCTGCAGAAAGGCAACCGCAGGGTCAGACCCACTTGTATTGCACCAAACAGGAACCCACAGGTCCATGAACACGTCACCATGGTGGTACACACTCTCCAGTTCATGATGACATTGTATCGCAAGGGGTGGCATATTGCCACATAGCGGTCATAAGACATCACTGCCAGCAACACACACTCAGTTAGGGCTAAGGCCATGTAGAGGTATATTTGTGTCCCACAACCAACAAATGAGATGGTTTTCCTCTGGAGAAGGAGGTTCCCCAAAATGTGGGGGACATTACTGGAGGCATAGCAGATGTCTAGTATGGAGAGATGGCAGAGGAAGAAATACATGGGGGTATGAAGCTGGGAGTTGTGACAGATTACCACAAATACAAGTGTATTTCCAACCAGTGAAACTGTGTAGATAACAGAGAAGATCCCAAACATGAAAAATTGCATGTTTTCCCCAGTGGAAAACCCCAGGATGATAAATTCAGTGACAAACGTTTGATTTTCCATTTTGAGTAGGAATGTTCTGGGCACAAACCAACATCACTAGAATCTGGAAGAAGGAAAATTAAATGCATGAAAAATAGCCAAATAACAAGGTGCAAGTTACCTTTAAAAAAAGAAAGACCGACTGTCTTTTCCTCACAAGTCCCATTTTTAACTCATTGCCTACAATGAGAAGTAGATCATAACTGGAATAGTAAGTATGCTGCAATAGCATGTATTAATGTATGTGAAACCAAATAATAGGGTTTGTGCAATCTTTCAAGTATGTGGCTAAAAAAAAGGTCCATGAGAACATCTCTTTGCCTGGTGATTATTAAAATAATATTTTTTTAATTCTGTTATCCAGGAAATTTACTTTAATTTTTGACTGAGCAAATAAATCATCAAGAGCAGTTTCAAGGTTGTGTTAAATTCATGTGATCACTGTGAACTAAAAAATGAACTCTGAGGAGCATCCTCTCTCCAACACAAAATGAGCTTAGCCACATTACTTACTCCTGTGTGACTGACGATGTGGGCTGCATTTATATTATCAATAGGAAACAAGGGGGCTAAATGCAATAAAATGTCATAAGGAGGTGGCAAAGTCAACCTCTTACAAGGTAGGAAATGCCATATAGAAGTTTTCCTGTGCAGGTTGAATTGTCTGTTGATGCACACCTGTAATATGAAGAAGTCTTTGATTATAACAGCGCATAGTGCCAAATAAACCTCTGTTCAATATCTCTAAATCTATCAATAAAGACCTTATCAACCTGTGGGCCTTGCAGGCATCTTTTTCAGCCAAGCCTTACTGCTGGATCACAGTAGAGCTGTGCACAATATATCACATCCAGGAAAACTGAGATACAGCTATATGGAGTTCTGATCTATTTTAATATTGAATTAAGAAATGCACTTTTGGTGTCAGGGGAACTTGACATTTGGTAGAAAATAGTCAGCATCTTGCAGGTTCTAACAATTAATATTTTTACACTTATTGTACCTTTTGCATGAATCACCCGAAAAGCATGAAACCCACTTGCACTCATATAGGTGTCCTTTATCACATGTCTATGAAGATTATCAAAGAAATCACCTGTGAAGTGAAACTTAGCTTGACACACCCTAGCTGGATCCTATTTGCACCTATCCAATAGATCTATGATAATATGAACCAGCTGAAGTTCTGGGGTTATAAATTTCACCTATCAATTAGCACTTCTGATTGAATACCATTTGGGAGTTGTGGATACACACAGCTCCAAAGTGAAAGACTGTAAGCAAGTTTAAGCTTGTTCCAGTTCTAATACACTGGAATGACAGGAGCATCTACAAGGGACAAAACAGTATTCCATCTATTCCAGTGTCCTGTCCCTGAGCTATCTGACAGGTCAGTTCTGGAAGCTGGCTAATAAAAAACTGTGCAATAACCACCCCACAGGAAAGTCCTGTTAGTTAAAATTTGACTGATGCCTGCCAAAGGGTTTTATTGACAGAGTGGTTAATATGGCTCTCTGTAAGCCCTGAGGTGTGCATTTGCATGTCACTCTAGAAATGTACTGGAGGAGGCTGCTCCCCACCTCATTTTGACCCATCTTTAGATGAATAGACCTGTTCAGTAAAAGATGCTGCTAGCTACAATGTTCTCTCAGGTTTAATAGACAACAGAAACGATTGTGCATCAACCATACCTGCCTGATGGACTGTCTAGCAAGTGACTTGTTTCAGAGATTTCCTGCTTCTGATGTCATAAGATTTGTTGTTCTATTTGCTTGATTATCAGACTTGCTCATCCTTTCTGAAAGGATACCAGTTTTGCCAAGATTCTCTGTTATATTTTAACAGCAGACTTTGCGGGATTTAAAAGTCCCTACTTTATTTTTGTCTGAAGGATCTGACTGCTTTCTGTGTTTACTTTTGGGAAGCTGAGTGTTGCAGGGGTTCACTTTTTCTTTCTCACTTTAACTTCAGTTAGAATGACCCTAGTAGCTGAACATTACAGGGGGGTAA